GCGGGGGCCCGGCACACAAAGGAGGCTGCCGGGCACCTTGGCTTGATCCGTTTTAATTTGTACCAGACGTGGAACACTTAGAAAAGGCTCAGCACGGCAAATCCCGGGCATGCAGCGTGGTAACGGGGTTACAAAACATCCGCGCGTCGCAAAGGACGGGGCGCCTCAAAGCCCTGCTTTGGCTGTCCTGGAAGGTTCCTCTCTGTTTATAGGTATTTATATATAATATATATATATATCTTCACTTAGCTTACACCGATGCAAAAAGGAAAAAAATAATAACAAAAAAAAAAAAATCTCATTTAGGACAGTGTTATTCAGTGCCTTGCAAAAATAAAATCACACGAGGGATATCGAGCGCAGCGCCACGGGTGTTACAGCTCGTCCCCAGCCCAGCATCCACAGAGAAGCAAGAATTAAGAATTCCACCCGTTGCTTCCACAGGGCAGAGGAATTACTCACAAAAGTGACTTTTTTTTTTTTAGCATTTCCCTTTCCCAGGCCCGTTTTTCCCGATGCTGTTTGCTGTACCGGCGTGGTTCAGCTGCTTTCAGTCTCTCGCTACGTGCCTGACCCCCTGAGAATCCTTTGTGCTGCAATTTAACGTCCTTTGGGCCCAGGTGCTGCAGCACGAACACAGCTTGTCACCTGGAGCAGCCAAACTGGCTTTTTCTGGGGCTGTAACACCATTTTGGGGGTGTTTGGGGCATTCAGCAGCACTTTCTGCCTCTAAACACCGAGCGGTGCCCCAGCCCCGCTGTGGCAGGGAGTACAAAATGATTTTATTATTTTGGTGTCTTGCTGCAGGGGCTTTGTGCAGCATGCAGGGTGTGCAGTGGCAGCTCCTTATGTACACGGGGAAGGAAGGGGCTTTGTTTTGGGGTGGAAGGGTTCAAATTGCAACGTGGCAGCTTGAGAACCCCGGGGGTACCCCAGGGAATGGGGGTGAGACAAATCCCTGCCTGTTAACAAAGAGGATTTTTGGAAAAGCTCCTGCGGGGACGCCAAGGAGAGCCCCCCTCTGCCTGGTCCCTCTTGGGGCGACCCCGAGGAGGAGGATGAGGAGGCGAAGGCCGCGGTTCTGCGCTCCAGCACCATCCCGGAGCCATTTTTGGGGCAGAAAACGACATTTTCATCCCGCTGCCTAAACCCCGGGGGGGGGGCTCCTCACCAAAACCAAGCGGGGCCGGGGTGGGCGTGGGGACCCCGCGGGGGACACCTGGACNGTATTTATTGCCATCCTGGTAAATCAGAAACTCCTCCGTGCCTGGCTCCTGTGCCCGCTGCAGGATTTGGAGTATTTAGCTCATTAATGAATTATTTCATTAATTAATTTCTCTGCTTCAGCAGAGGGGTAATTTGATCCAGCTGTCCTTAAAGGACACACGAGTTCAGGGAGTGTCACCCCACTTGGGTGTTGCCAGAGCCAGGAAAGTTCTGACCTTCCAAAAATCACCCCAAAACCCCCTGGAGGGTTAAAAACCAGAGTGTTGGGTGTGCAAGGAGGGGAAAAATGTTATTTTTGAGCATTGCCAATGTGTTTCCCATGACTGGGAGGGAGGGAATTGAAGGGTTTGGGGTTAAAAATGAGAAATTTGTAATTTGAGGTCAAACCCTCCCCAGGGGAGTTCAGCAAGTGCTGGGAGCCTCTTCCTGGAGATATCCATGAGTTCCTCTCGGGAAATGGGGGATTTTAAATCCATTCTTTTATTCCCTTCCTTTGGATGAGGTGAAATTTTTTCCTTCCTGATTTGGGGGAATTTCTCCCCCAATTTGGGGCTGTTGGAGGAGGGGCCCTGCGGTTGCGAAATGCAAATAAATGGAAATAAATCCCATTCACTGAGGCCGATTTGCACCGTGCAAATAAATGGAAATAAATCCCATTGATTGAGAACGATTTGCACCGTGCAAATAAATGGAAATAAATCCCATTGAGAACGATTTGCACCATGCAAATAAATGGAAATAAATCCCATTGATTGAGGCCGATTTGCACCATGCAAATAAATGGAAATAAATCCCATTGATTGAGGCCGATTTGCACCGTGCAAATAAATGGAAATAAATCCCATTGAGAACGATTTGCGCCGTGCAAATAAATGGAAATAAATCCCATTGAGGCCGATTTGCAGGANGCCCTACCCAGCCTGGGGGCAGAAATGCGATCCCTGCTGTGCCACCATCGATGCCAAGGACGGATCCAGCCCATCGATGCCAACCCCGGAGCTTTTGGGCACTCGGTGGTGCTCAGGGAAGGCAACGCCCAGCCTGGCCCCGGGGGGTTCCTTTCCCAAATTCTGCGTGTTTTATCCAAATTCCCCTTAATTAATGGCTATTTTTGGGATTCAGAGTTTCCCAGCATCCAGTGACTCAGTGAATGCCAGTTTGCTGCTGGCATTCCGGGCATCTCCCACACTGCCCGGGGGATAAATCCCATTTCCAGGGGGGATAAATCCCATTTATGAGGGAGATAAATCCCATTTCCCCCATTTCCAGGGGGGCTAAATCCCATTTCCCCCATTTCCAGGGGGGATAAATCCCATTTATGAGGG